AAGCGCATCCGTCCTCACATGAACGCATTGGTCACTTCACAGCAGGTGCAGGTCACAGCGGCGACACGTGGGTCACGGCCGCGATGACGAGCAAAGCATGGGGATGTGCAAACCCTGACAATACTAGATGTACCAAACTTACTGAACGGATTGTAGGGCTGGCTCAGGTTTTCCCTTGGTTTGTGGACCAAACGAACCGAAGCGTCATCGCCCACCACTCCCAAGTCGGTGGTGAAGACCAGCTCCAGTTGCTCTCGACTGGAGAGCAGGAACTCAAACAAGCACCAAACTCCTGAGTTCGGACACAAAAACGGCACGAACTCCTGAGTTGTACTTCCGAAGTTCTGAGTTCTACTTGGCCAAATCCTGGTATTTGAGGTCGTCTTCTGGTGGTCTTGTGTGCCACTTGATAGTTGCATGTGTTGTGGTATTCTGTAGTAGATTTCACGTGCTTTATAAATAACCACAGTTGTTCCTCATTTCCGCACTGGTTGTCATTGCTAAGGCGCAAGTAAGTTCCCTTCAGCTACACCACATTTCATGAGGAACAACAATGCCGTTTGGAGTTTTACAAGTACTTTGTCCGAGTTTAAGACAAATAACATTGAGCCCAACGCATGTAGGGACGGAACCCAAACGGGTACAGTAACGTCCACCTGTGTCGATACTCTCAGTGCTGTCGAGGCTCGCGTGAGCGGTTGCACCTCTTGATCCAAAACCATGGCAACTCCCTTGATCCCGCCCCTCAAGGCCCGAGCAAAAGCGCTATCCATTGGATCGTCGGCCAGTTCTGCTGCGATATTCCACTGGTTGTTGGCCTGGACAGCAGAATGAAAGCCATGTAAGGGTAACACAAACCAACCATGCATGGATTCCGGGTCTTGCAACATACCAATGGTCAAGAGCCTGAAACCAAAAGCCTTTCAATATGTCTTTTCAGAGCCTGCGGTTTCATACCAACTTGCCTAGTTTGTCTAGCTTCCTTCAACACTGGTCCAGAAGAAAACCTGACACATCCAAAATAGAGTTCAGTTCCAAGTGACAAAGGAACAAATCCAATAGGCTGCGTCGATCCAAGATGCAGAGCCTTCCTTGGACAGGGCATGGCAGCGAATGGACTGCACAAAGTGAGAGAAGCTTGTGCCCCAGGAATGGGACCTTAGCTCTGCGTAGGGCGGGTCAAGGCTGCGAACACAAAAAAAATGGTGTCTTTGTGTGTGGAGTCTTGATTTGTAGAAAGGCCCCCATCCTACCAAGCAATTGAGTCTGAGCCTTAGACCCCATACCTACCAAAACTGAGTGTCTAGTCGGTCGGTCCTTCACCGAAAGCCGGTCGATCCAATTGAACACGTCGGGAACCGACGAAGTACCGACGGGTCGGACGAGAGACCGACGAAGCAGGCACAAAAAGCGTGGCAACGACGAAGCAGGCCAACGGAAATGAGTCTGGGAAGTATTCTCTTGTTGAGTATTTTTTTCAGGAAAAGTACGGCTGTGGTCTTCAAAGGAAAGCACGGCGACATGCGAGGAAAGACATCTGATATCAAGTCAGTTGTACGGCAAAGACGTCCGAGGTTTTTCTTCAATTCCGTCCACTAAACCTATAAATCAATTCCAGGGTCGGACTACCAGTCGAAACTTTGGTTTGGGCAATATGTTGATATCATTGGGCAACAGGAAACAATAGGAAAAACAATAGGAACCTCAGTGGCTGGTGGTGGTGGTGATTTATATATTAAAACCAAGCCAGGGGAGAATGAAGAAAACAAACAATAGCTCCAGGAGAAAGCAATCTTTTGGTCCAACAAACAAATTTCATCAAATTTCAGCGTATGGAACAATTTCGCAAAAAACTTTAAGTCTTCGATATAACACATTCTATATACATATCAAGATCCAACCATACGCTCGGTACCATGTCATGTGTGGTGTACCGTAGGTTTGTGATAGACGATATGGTTCTAAAAGGATCACCACAAACACGACGACCTGAAGAGGGTCACCTTCCGAAGACCTCGTGTGAGACTCAACACGACGTGAACATCCTTGGTAGATGGTATACTTTAGAAGGCCGAGGATGTTCATCCTCGGTACACACGTGAACATCCTCAGTACAACTCGGGCGTGAGTATCCTTTTCAAATGGCCGAGTCCATTTGAGAGAAGTAGTCCATTGGCAGCTACTTCCGAATATATCACCAAATGAGCTTGGATGTGGCTTAATTGAGACCTTTTATGGGGAGATTCAACTTTGATTCCATACAGAAGCAGGGAAGCCACAAGCAAGTGCTTCAGTTCGCATCAATCTGCCATCAGCTTTACGTCTGCCGAGGGACACAAAGTAGTCCACCTGCCTACCACCCCAAAGAGTCACGAAGGACACGCCTTTGCTCTGCGTCAAAGGCCTTACAATGTTGGCCACGACAAAGTGCATATTCCGCTCCAGAATGAAGCCTCTCAAAGCCCGGGGAATGGAAGATAGTCGCGGTCGTTGTGGTATGTTTTTGCCATCAAACCAACAGAGTCACAGCGTCTCGAAAAAGCACGAATTCCTGTCAAGGTCTGCCACCTGTTTCCTGTAAGTATACAATTATAGGAAACAACCCAACGTGAAAGCTTAGCTGATGAGAAGGTTCAGGAACTCTCGAAGTGCTTCCATAATCCACGTAGTGTGAGGACCAACAGGCCCTGGTTGCGAGGATGCGTTGCATCTGGGCCTGGATGAGGTTTGCAGTGGATTTGTTTCCGGTAGTCATCCAAAGCTTCTGAGAAGGGCGTTCTACGGTACAGGCCTTGAATGAGCCATGCCACCGGCCAGTGCAGCACCGCAGCCACAGCCGCCATTGGAAGAGCAATGTAGAAGACAGAAGTGACCTTGTCTAGGATGCAGAAGATAGACAGTTAATTGTTAATCTAAATTTTAATAAATAGAACACAACACAACACAATGAACGCGCCCACGAAACAATACCCAAACTACTATGGAGACACTTTCTAGTCACTCTCCAAGTGACGAAGGTATGTTGCAGGCCGTTTCCGGATACGACGGCGACTTTGATAATGGTGGGCAGAATCGCAAGCAAAAAGAGCAAGGCAATGAGCAGGGTGACCATTACACAAGTCTCAGTAGCATGAAGGGACCCCCTGCAGGAAGCGCAATCGAATGGCACGTGTGCATCTTGAAGCAAAAACTTCTTCTGTGCCACGCTGCAAACCTTGATTGCCTTGGACTTTTGTGGATCAAAATCCAGCCACTGCAGACCAGTTCCCCTTGCACGATAACGCACTCTCTGGTGCAATAGTCGAGATATGCTCGTGGGAAGGCTGGTGATAGGACCCTTGACTGAGACGGTGAAAATCCTTTTGGCTGCCACCTCCGAGGGGTCTTCGATGTCCGACTTGGCATCAAGAATCACCAAAGGAGCGTGAAGGATCTCGAACGCGATGAAGGTCAGGATCACGAACACGGCTGCACCCATGAACAGGATTACACGCTCTGGACTTTCGTGTGGTAGCACATGGCAAACGTCACGTTTGCCATCAGACCAAGCTCGGTAGATTTCACAAGGGCGACAACTGCCATCCTGGAAGTAGGAGTGCCTGTTGCCTCAGAAATGCAGTGAACACCATGAAACACGGTGGTAATTTCCCCACTTCTGCTACAACATCAAGTTAGCCATAGGTGAATGGTCAGGACGATCATGTCAATCTATCAGTTGCGAGTGAGTTGCAGAATCTGCACGTCCGGAACACGTCTTCGAGAGACACCAGCTCAGTGTTGCGGAAGTGCTCGCTGGTGATCCTTCGATATGATAGGCTGTCACATGCTCAGACCATCCCTCCACCTGGAATAGATACATTCATTTACCCCATGAAAATGACACCAATGTAGGTAGAAAAGTCAAATGTAGGTCATTTGCTGGTTAAATCAATGTAGGTTACCTACATTGGTCGTCAATCCCCATGAACACGACCCCCCAAAAAAAGGTCACCATGACCCAGTCCCATTCGTCTGGTCTGGTGACCCCTCTGAACATCAAAATCCAATCGAATCCAGGCTGTCCTCCGTATTTGTTGCCTCCCAAGAGACATGCCTCCTCCAGGCTGTCGCTGGAAGCATCTTCAGTTTTTCGCTTCACCTTTTTAGAAGCCGAAAAGTTGAAAGAATGGCATGAGGTGAATCAGCTATATAGTGATGATTCATGCCGTACGACCCATTGATGCCGAGAATCTGGTAGTCGCTGCAAGCACACCGTGGTGTGAAGCCATTGGACCTGAGGTCTGCCAGTCGGGCGATGCAGGACATCTGTCGTCCACGAAATCCCAACAACCCTTGCCGTTTCAGCAACTCCAGTGGTGTCTGTACTTGGGGAAGAAGAAACCATGGGTCGGTTTGGTACCATTTACCGGTGGTACACTTGAGGGTATCCTCTCTAGTAACTATGACAGCAACTTCATACACATTTCCAGTCTTAAGGACTCATCCAAAACTGTGGAAGGAGTATATAGCAACGGTACCATTGTTCTCACCAAGTGGCACTGTGAAGGCTTTGGAACAATGGAGATTTTCTGGGCTCAGAGCTTGCAAGGTTCCATCCTCTGTTGCATTGAAGGTCACTCCCTGCGGACAGTCCGGGCATGAAATGGCCAAGGAGTCGATACTGAAGTTCTCCTGCAGGGAGACTGAAGAGTTGGGCATGCTGGGCAAAGATCGATGTGAGTCCAACAAAGGAAGGACTTCTGAAAGACGTGGCAAAGGATGACTGAAAGACGTGTTTTACACTTTCATCAGATTGAAAAAATGGATGACCAACGCAGTGGATACTTCTGTGGCCTCTTCCAGTACAAACGAAACCACACACGATCCTGAGCAGCTAGAACCTGCAAATGGTCGACTGGTGGCAGGTAGTGAATGTTGACATTGTCAACCACCACATAGCGGGGGCGTGTGGTGAGGAGCGAGCTGTTCCACGATCGCAAATGAATGCCTGAGAGGCGCACCTCTTCATGAGGGCAGGCATTTACTGACAAAAGACCCGAGCTCAAGCGACCAGTCGCATCCAGGGCTGCGCCCTCTGCCACATGGAAGGTGGTGTTTGAGCAAAGAGAGGAGGAGCAGCTGTTTTGCAGGTACAAACCATGCCGACCAATGATGCCTTCGAGGAACAGACTTGACTCAGGATGTAGTTGGAGACAGCTTGCTGCCAGAACAGCAGAGTTTGCATCGCCTTCTGCATGATGAATATCTAAGCTGGACTGAGATGAAAGAAGCACCTGACCATCCACACGACCTGCGGTGCCTGTCCGCTCGGCAGTGGAATTGGCTGTCGACATTGAGCTATTGTGTGTAGCCAGCGCAGTGGCAACCATGAACCCACCACCATCTACTCCTGCATGGGTGTCGGACATGGCAACTGTAGATGCATCGGAAAGTGCAATGCTGCCTTCAGCGCAGAAACCTCCACCCAACTTACCAGCTCTAGCACGCTGAATGCTGACTGTTGAGCTGCTGATTGCAACCTTACCACCAGCATAGAAACCTCCACCATTTCCTGGAGCTGTTGCATTCAGGATCATGAGGGCAGAGCGATTGGAGACTTTTAGTTCCTTTTTGGCGTACAAGCCTCCCCCATACCCAGAGACTGTGTGGCTGTTGGAAATCTTGACTGTTGAGCTTCCACCTATATCAACTTCTCCAATGGCATACAACCCTCCTCCACCGCTGCCAGCTTTAGTATGCTGAATGTGCACTGTAGAACTGCGCATCGAAACCCTGTGTTCGCAAACAAACGCTCCACCATAACGTCCAGCTGTTGCATTCAGGATGATGAGGGCAGAGCGATTGAAGATGTTTAGTTCAATTGCATCAAAGCCCCCCCCACTTTCGGAGACTGCCTGGCTGTTGGAAATCTTCACTGTGGAGCTCCCAGCTATCTCAACCTCTTAAAAAGCATGGAACCCTCCTCCATGTTTGCCCGCTTTTACATCTTGAAGGTTCAGTGTTGAGTGGCTTGTCACCTGCAAATGCTTCTCAACTTGGAAGCCTCCACCTTGATCTGCTGCTACTGCATCAAAAATGCTCACAGTTGATCTTCCAGCAATCACAACCTTGTCCACTGCAATAAAACCTCCACCGAACAATCCAGCTCTTGTATGCTGAATACTGATAGTCGAGCTGGAAAAAACCGCGGCCTTACCCGAGGAATGGAAGCCCCCGCCAGATGATCCAGCTGTTGCATTCAGAATGATGAGAACAGAGCGATTGAAGATGTTTAGCTCATTTGTGTGAAAACCTCCTCCACTTGCAGACACTGCGTGGCTGTTGGAAATCTTCACAATTGAGCTTTCGCGTACCTCAACCTGTCCTTCGGCATTGAACCCTCCTCCACTGTCCCCGGCTTTCACATTTTGAATGTTCAGTGTTGATTTGCACATCACCTGCAGATGCTTTCTCACTTGGAAACCTCCACCGCTTTCTGCTGCTACTGCATCAGAAATGCTAACAGTTGACCCTGCGGCAATCACAACCTGGTCCGATGCCAAAAAACCACCACCCCACTTTCCAGCGGTGGCATGTTGAACGCTGACCGTTGAATTGCTCAGAGCAAGCATTTCACCACCCACCCAGAATCCACCCCCATGACTTGCAGCTGTCGCATTCAGAATGATGAGGGTAGAACCACTGGAGATGTTTAGCCCCTTTTCTATGAGCAATCCTCCTCCATCTCCTGAGTGGGCCTGGCTGTTGGAAACCTTCACTGTGGAGCTCCCATCGATGTCAACCTCTGCAAGGGCAAACAATCCTCCTCCATTTCTGCCAGCTTTCACATTTTGAAGGTTCAGTGTCGAGTTGTTTGTCACCTTTAACCGCTTCTGCACTGCGAAACCTCCGCCTTGTTCTGTTGCTACTGTGTCGGAAATGCTGACATTTGACATTCCAGCAATCACAACCTCGTCAAATACGAGAGCACCTCCACCAAACTCTGCAGCTGTAGCTTGCTGAATGCTGACTGCTGAGTTGTCTATAGCAACTTTGCCATCGGCAAAAAGTCCTCCACCACGGCTTCCAGCTGTTGCATTGAGGATGATCAGGGAGGAGCCATTGGACACTTTCAGCTCATTTAATGCCAGAAAACCTCCCCCATCTCCAGAGACTGCGTGGGTGTTGGAAATCCTCACTGTCGAGCTTCCGCCAATCTCAACCTTTCCTCCAGCAAAGAATCCGCCACCCTCTTTTCCAGCTGTTGCATTCAGAATGATGAGGGTAGATCCATTGGAGACATTGAGCTGATCGTCTGTGACAAAACCTCCTCCACTTCCAGACACTGCATGACTGTTGCAAATCATTACAGTTGAGCTTTCACGGATCTCAACCTCTCCAAGGGAAAGAACGCCTCCTCCATGTTTGCCAGCTTTCACATTTTGAAGGTTGAGGGTTGAGTTGCTCGTCATCTGTAAACGCTTGTCCGCATAGAAACCACCGCCACCTGTTGCGACTGCGTCAGAAATGCTCACATTTGACATTCCAGCAATCACAACCTCGTCAAGTGTAGCAAAACCTCCACCTAACCCTGCAGCCGTAGCATGCCGAATCCTGACAGTTGAATGGTTTGTCAACTGAAGCCGTTGCTTGACAAAGAAACCCCCACCGATCTTGGCAAATCTGGCGTTCTTAATGTCAATAAGCCCGCTGTCCTGACGTTCTGCAAACAACCAGTTCAACACCTCTCCACATCAGCATTTGATTTTATTATTAGACCACCAACTAGAGTCTACAGCACAAAGAAAAGGTCTCTTGTTCCACATGTGGCGCAAGTCTTTAAGAGACAGCCCTGAGTTAGGAAGTTTATATACATTGTTCGTTGTGAGAGTTTCTGACGAAACATATGTGTACGAGTTATCATGTTGCCGAAACTCCAGGGACCCAAATTGCCTTTTAAGAAGAGCAGAACATGCAGGACGGCGCTAATAGAGCTGTTTGAAAGAGGGAAAAACTCAAAGAAAAAACAGTGCCAGTGTCAGTTCCAGAATCGTAAACATACCTGGAGAACAGTGAACAAGGTAGTACAGTACAGAATAGAGAAACACAGACACGAAGGGCAATGATGAACAACTAAAGAAACGCAGCACATGTGGAGGAAGGTTGAGAAAATAGATTAGCACCAAGAAGTCTTTATAGAGAAAATTAGAGAAAAAAAACCGGCTAGAGCAATCCAGGAGGTTAAAATGGGCAAAAAAGATGGAGAACAGTTAAGAGAACAGGGCAGGGAAAAGTAAACACCTAGAAGTAATCCAACTTATGCGTCACCGATGGATTTCCTCGAAACAACTTTTCTGCGCCATTTTCGACTCACGCGTGAGACCTGGTTTTGCTGTGCTATTTGGTCCGTCAAAAGCAGGTTCATGTATTTTGCCGCCATCATCGCAAAAACAATGCTGCATCGCAAATGACAGAAAGGGTGTCCAAATGCGAGAGTCATGGCACATCCGAATTGATCGCTGTATCATGTTCAGGTCAATCAAACACTGACTGGTGATATTTGTCAGTGTGCTACTAGCGCTGTGTTACTGACTGCTGCGTTGCAACTTAGGCAAAGCAGAAGTGGGCAAGCACTCAAAGTGAAACACATGTTAAAACGTAGAGAGAGGCACAATGAAGTAGACATGAGCTAGCGGCAAGTAAAACAACGTTAGGAAACTTGCAAGCAAGTGAAGAATAAAGAGACTTCAAAGCATATGAGATAAGAGTTGGAGGAGAAAAGGGAATGCAAGTAGACACTGTAGGGATACTGCAGGTTTCGCACATGGACACTGGAGGTATCATTTTGCATCGTGATGCAAGATGTGGTAGTTCCGCACATGCACGTTATAGGGCATAATTCAGTGCATAACACTTGTGTGTTTCTAATTTTGGACGTCCTGCATAGTTCTTCATTCTCGCAGGAACACCTGTTAAAACAAAACGCACACTTATAAACCTGAAAAGATGCAAAACGAAAGCCAGCGCTTTTTGTCCACGTGCACGTTGTTGGCTAAAGGCAGCATGCTGCATTGCGAACGGCGTGCTTCCGTGCACCCCTACACACCACCTACTTTCGAGTGTGCTTTCTCAGGGCACCCCCCTGAAACCTCCTTCTTACTCAGCTGGCGCCTTGCCAGGTATAGATACCCAGGGTAGCTACAATTCAGTTGCCAGGTATTATATAGGTGTGTATGAGGTATAGCAACATAGCATTTTTGCGGACCCGGGGTAGCTACAATTCTGTTCCCAGGCGCGGACCCAGAGTAGGGAAATTGAAGTGCGTTACCTGGCAACAGAATTGTAGCTACCCTGGGTCCGTATAAATGCTATGTTGCTTTGCCTCTTACACACGTATAGAAGTTCAAAGCACGAATGAGACTTCAAAGCTGTGGATTGCTGTGCGTGTGTAAAGGTTATCGAGCGGTTGACGGAAAGGGAACTTGAAGTACGTACCTGGTAACTGAATTCTAGCTACCTGGGTATCTATACCTGGCAAGGCGCCAGCTACACCTTACCAATGAGTGCAAATTGCATTTCTTGCATCACCACCCCCTCAAAAATCACAAACTCAACCTCAAAAACCTTCCTTCCGTAGACCCCTCTCCCCCACCCAATTTCGAGTTTACATAGTACGTTTGCGGGCCACCCCCCCAGACCCCTTACTTCCTCAATTCGTTCGCCAAACACAACTCAGCTGGCGCCTTCTACGAAGGCTGGCTTTCGTAACATGCAACTTTCCGGTGCTACATGTGCGCTGAGCTCCACACGGAAACATCAGCATCGCGTGTCACAAAGAAGCCAGCGCCGTTACCTTTGTGCGCGGAAACGTTCTCAATGAGGACTTTGGAGAGTTGACGTAGTCTCCTTGGATGCAGCCAGCAGCAGGATAGCCCACTGTACATGGAGTATGTTGTTCTTGCCACAGAATCTTTCAAAGGCACAAATCTAAAGACACCTTAGTGGGCTTTTTCTCTTAGATTGCGCAAACATCGTGTCTGTTTCTCAAACTCGTCTCGGCAGAAGCTGAAGCACAAGATTTGTGGCCAAATGTCTGGCCTTTTCTATTTCACCTGACACTGCTCATCCACGCTCCAAAATCCGTCAATGAACGGTTCTTGTAACTAGCCAAGTCTCAGCGTTCCCTCTCCGTAAAAGCCTCCGCCGGAATCTGCCGCCGCAGCATTCAGCACGCGAAGGCTAGATGAAACCAAAGTCCTCAGCACTGAGAAGAGCACGGCTGTTTTCCAAAAAAAGGCACCGAAGAAGACACAACTGCAAAGCCACAAATAGATCGGATCACAATCTCCAACACCTACCTGAAAAGGGAGTCACTTTTCCATCTGTTTGGAGCTAGAATATTGACGACAACTTGTCAGTGCTATATGGCTCGCGTTGGAATTAGAAGCCTTTCAATCTCTGGGGCCCCTGGTCAATCCTTTCATTTCAGAGTCTTTGGAGGGAGCAACCGACCCTGAGCAACCGAGCCTGGGAGGTGGCGTGCATCAGCAGGGAAGTCTAATTAAGTCACACATCAACTCTTGCCGCCCAAAGGGCAAATCCCCAGCTGCAAGGGCACCACCCTTCACTGCTCCGGTGCCTCTGACCTTGCGCCCGCGATTTGTTTGACGCGCGTATTCGACACAGCTGTGTGCTGCTGAAAGCCGGGAGGAGAGGTCTTGGAGACTTCAACATGTGGGAAACAACCCATTGACATCGAAGGATGCCTGGTCTGTGTGGTTTCAGTTCACCGGAACACATAGATGTAATTGGGATCAATCATTCCAGGTTAAGGTTGGTAGAAACACACTGCATAAACCCAGGTCCTACCGTAGTCCTTACGAGTAATCCAAAGAGCTGTGAGATTTGATCTGGTCAAGGTCAAAGGCCCCTTGCTGTGAAATGCGCCGCCCGCTTCGATTGAGAGATCTGGAGCTTCATGCCACGCTTCCACTTGAGCATCTTCAAAGACTATGGTCCTCGGTTCAACAAAAATTTAAACAACAACGCAAATTCGGTTCTAGCCCAACCCCCCAGAATGTCAACATGTTAATGAACATATAGAATGTTGTGAACACATGACTAGTAATCCCCCAGAAGGTCAACAGGTCTGGGGACTATTTGGGGGGTCAATCGTGAGGAGAGATCCCCAACACAAAAACCGCTTCATGAAGAGAAGCTCCCACATGGTGGAGGAGGATGATGGGAGGGAAGAGATCGGGAAGGAAGATTGCTGGGCAGATGGGATCGAACATGGGATCGTACCAATGCCTGGAACGTGAGTGTGGCATGGGATTCTGAATGGAAGAGGCATGGGATCTTGCACTGCATATATCCAATTATGTCTCACTGAAGATGTGCAAATGAGTCAATCTCCTATCCAATATGCGCAAATGTGTTTATCCAATTTTCTATCCAAATGAGCCACTAAATGGATAAACCGCGAAAGGCATGAGCAACAGGTGTGAAGGGAACATAAAGGACCATAGGATGAGGGAGTGGGGAAGTTGGCAAAAAGTTTAGGCGAAGAAGCTGGGCAAACTAATTGGGGGAGGTTCGGTTCTGTAATTGTCCATGCAGAAGGGTTTTCGACAGGCTGTTAGTGTTACGCAGGAAAAAGTCCTGCCAAACTATGACAGAGGGTTCCTTAATCCCGTGTTCGCATTAAACGAAACAAACCCACACACACACTGTTGCCCACACGCTGTCAAGACTTTCTAGCGCATTTCTGCTTGATCCAAGCTGTTTTATCATACTCCATGAATGATTTTCTCCCTATTTCACCTGTCCAAGGATCTCAGCATCAAGACGGAGTGAAATCACCTGGATCTGCCTTGGCTGGGAAAGTCGATGATCACTGGTGGAGCGAAGGCCACTTTCTGACTTTTTGAGCCAGGCTATTTGCAAAACCAAGCAAGACCAGCCTATCGGATGCACTTGGGTTTTGGTTGTGGGACAGCAACATGCTACTGTTGAAGTTCAGTCCATCACACCACATCTGCAACTTCTCTCCGGAGAAAGACGCACGACCCGATGGTCTTTCGACACCATCGGGTAACGCCCTTGGAGCGAGGGGAGGAGTTGACTGTACCAATGTTGGGAACCTAACAAATAGGTTGGAGGCCATCGCTTCTAGAATCTAATCCAACAAAAACACAATGATATGCAATTTTACGTGGACTCTTTGACTCACGGTTTCTCGCAAAAATGCGCAATCTGAAGTCACCGGCGACTTGAGAAGTAATGAGATCAAAACACGAACCGGTTTGGTTACAAAATGACACAAACCTTGGCACTGTTCCCTTCACTTTTCTGGATGATACAGGCTGAGCAAGTATTCCAAGTAATTACCAGGTCCATAGCTAGCCATCTGCGGTTGTCTTCATGTATTTCAATGTATACTGATATGATGTGTTGCTAGATATGGCTTTGAGTGGGGGGATGGGGCGCTAGTGCAAAACCTCCGAAGATTTCCCAACCATGAGCTGGTGTCAGCGAAATTGTACAAAGGGAAAAACACAAAGCAGGTTTCTGACCCCCAATATCAGATTCAAACCTTCCGACCATGAGACCAAACCAGAATTCACAACTTTTAATAGCCTCGCAAATATTTTCTTGATAACAACTCCTCCACGACGCAGCCACGGTGCCCAATGATGCGTAGCTCCCCCCCGTCCCACACGTGGTGACCACGCCGGGCGCAGCTCCCTGCAGCTGTGCTGGTGCCAGGGCCATAGAGGGTCCTTGCAGCCGGCAGCCTGCAGGAGTTGTGCCCGGCCTGCAAAGTCATGAAGCGGAGGACCATGTCGGTTGACATCAGTAAAGAAGCCAACATACAGTGCTTTCTAGTCGTGTAGTGAGGGTGTGGAAGCCGGGCAAAGGAATTCTTTAATGATGGGAGGATTTGCTTTTTGGTTGACTGATGTCAATAGTCTATCAACATCTGTCAAACATATTGGAACTGCGAACAAATGGATTCCACTCGTGAAATTGCAAGTTGCAAGTGGTGCTGCCATCCTAGCTGAAGGCAACTGCTGCAAGCAAGTCACTGGAGCTGAAAGCACTCACCAGAGCTCAGCTGACGTTCACAAAGATCTGCCCAGCTGATCGCTTCACAGTCCTTCCAAACAGACGAAAACATACAACAATTCACTGAGTGTTGGCTGGCTGTTGGCTATCTTCGCTATATGTTGGCTAGATTCATTTGAGATGTGAATTGTCATGAATTTATGTAATTTGGCTTTCCTGGGATTCAAACATATTGTTGCAGGAATCTGGTGCAAACCCAGCTGAAAATACTCTGGTTGAGCTAAGCAAGCTTCCCTAAGCACGTGGTAAGTTCATATATACAGTACTTGCTGAAGAAAGATTTGACGCAGGACTTCATGAGCAACTGAGTCGCCCCTCTCTCTCTCTCTCACCGGCCCTATGGGGCCTCTGGCAGCTGTCGGGCATCTGATTCATTGGGCAAGGCGATAGTGTGGCCTCTGAAATGACAGCAAGGTCCCAGAAATCCAGGAGTCAAATGGCAAGACATTCCTTCAGAATGAAGAATCAACTGATGTGTTTCTTCCATTTTCCTCCTGATTTGTTTGACGATGCTAATGTATGTGCGATTCAACAGAAACCACAGTTTATATAGTTGCTCGCTTCTGAGCGCTCACACTACTGATGACCCTTGCTTAAGTGGCATTCCATGGCAAAAATCCACACTCATTGAGGTTTCTCTGGCATGCCATACGCAGATGTTTATAACATCGCTGACATGTGCTACATGCTGCGTCCTTCGGCATCCTTGTCGCTTGCCGCAGCTCGTGTCTTGAACCGAGCCGAGCTGCGTGGCGATGTGCCCCGCAGCTGAGCGACTGCGCGAAGAAGAAGCGCGGCTGCCGCCACGAGGAGCCGCCCGGTCATAGCACTGACTGCGACTGTGGATAGTAATGATAATAAGCCCTGATAAACTTTGTTAGTAAATGTTCAAGATCTTCCTGCTTGTTGAGTTGCGGAAGGATCGAGGAGTAGATTTCATGCTGGTAGAATAGAGCGCTTTTGATCGTTTTTGTTGGGCCAGTAGTTAGTCGAAAAACATCACTGCCACCTTAATAAGTTTGCTTGGGCACTCAACCGCGTAGTTTGAGAGCAATATCACTCGCACTGCATTCAAATGAGTCTTCAGCACTACCAATCTGTGGAAAGGGCTCAGGGTAGACCAAGCATGAACTTATCCGGGAAGTGTTCTGATGATATGTTTGACTGCGACCAAATGCGTTTTCTTTCCTCTCTTTGTGACTGCCGAGTGAACTGATCAAAAACACAAAGCTGAAAAGGTGGCAGCAGCACAAACCTCTCGGAAACTACATCCAAATCTTGAATTTCCTCTCCCGGTGTGGACACGCGTGGACACGCTTCGACACACCCAGGCCTGCGCTGTTTCTGCGGCACAGCACAGCTTTGATCCAGCACCCCTGGACAGTGAGGAAAGGAAATCCTCCCCAACGTTTGGCCGACTCGCATCAATCAAACTGTTTCATTTGTTTCAAGATGTTGGAAAAGACGTCTCCACTCTGTAGCTTCGGTGGCGTTTGAGGGGTAATTACCAGCAAGGTCTTGCAAAGAGTCTTGGAGCATCTCCAACCTCATCAAACTGAGTTGCAGCTTTTGGCTGGCGGATCTGGTGTCTCATCGACGTTCATCGGTCAAAAGCTCTGCATGGCAACATCCCATCGAGCCATTGCACCGCCAAAGCTCTGCGATCACATGAGGTCAATTGATCCATTTTTAGAGGAGACTCGAAGGTTCAAGGGAAAACGACACGGCAAATCATCAGTCGAATTTAAGAATGGCGATGGTTCGTTGCGATGACTCATGGTCAGGAAGTGCTAAACAAATTGGAAAGAGTGACGACCTTGTGCGTACTCTCACAAAAATGGATTTTCAAGCTATAGGCCATTAAAAAGACTTCCCATGGGGTCACGACCCTTGCGCTATCCCGGAAAATACCCATGCACACTGAATTAAATGTACAATTAGTTTTGACCTAGTCTGTGCAGCAGGCTATCAGTCGCGCTTCCCACATTGGCCAAGTTCTTCTTCAGCATCTGTCCCATCAAGTGTTTGATCCGGCCGTCCATGCTCTCCAAACTGCCCAAGGTATTGATGATGTATTCAAAGATCTTTCTCCTCGTCATGGTGCTGAACAGCATGGTAAACCATTCGACATTCGAAGCTTTCTTATCTATAACTATTCGCGGCTAGGGTTTATCAAAGATCCCACAAGTATGCGGCCTTGCAGCTACCAATCAAATATATTTATGGCTGAAGACTCCTGGCAAATCTGCAAATCCCACAGCTAGCAAATCTGCAAATCTGACTAATATGTTTGCAACCGGGTGTAAGCGAGACTGAACCAAGACTGAAACAACACAAAAAAGACCAAAAAAAGAACTCTGGCGAAATAGGTCATCGCTGACCGAAACGATGGCGGCTGATCCCATGGTGTCTCAGGTCTTCTTCAAGCTGAATGGATGCCTTGCCCCTATGCAAAACTTGTCACTGGCCCTTGCGGCAAACAGTGTTGTTTACTGACTCACCCTTCCCCCATGTGTTGAAACAAGTGTCTTGTCTTCTTCACTGGATGCCTGGCACTTCACCACCTCCAGGCACTCGATCTTCTTGCCGACTTCCAAGGCGATGTCGAAAGACTTGCATCCGTCCTCACAGAAATAAGACCACTTAGATGCAACATGTGACACATGTGATGCCTCATGGCACCTTCTAAGAGATGTGGGGGGGTTTTCGTATGCTTCCGTATGTGTTCAGTCGATTTTTCTCCCCAAGAGAACAACAAGCTTGTACACTGAGATCGATCGAGGCGTCGTCACCCACGACTCCCACGTCAGTAGTGAAGACCAGCTCCAGATGCTCTTGACTGGACAGGAGGAACTCGAACAAGCACCAAACTCCTGAACAGTTTTGCACACAAAGGAAGGAATTTGCTGCGTTCTTCGCTACTTCAAACGTTTCAGCTTTCACATGGTTCGATCTTGGTGTTGTGATTGTCCTACATGGATTCGTAGTCGCTCGATAGTTGTATTATTGTGGGGCTAATGTTCACCTTAAATTTGTCTCGTCTTTGTCTCGCAGTTTCAGTTTAAACCTCAACAAGCAAAAAGGTCAAAAAGGCTTCAACAAAGTGATAGAAACGAAGGTCATTGAGTCATGCAATGCTTTGTATAGCTTTGCAATTGACTATACATGTCATGATTCATGAGGTACGGTACAGAAATCACGAGCCAATCTGACACCTGCTCTGATCACAAATGGCAATATTTTGAGCAGTTGCTGGTGCAATAAAGGTGTCAGTTCAAGGAATGTCTACTGCATTCCCCTAACTATTATCTACGTTCGTCTTCGTCTTCCCTGTGCTGTCGAGGCTCGAGTGAGCGGTTGCACCTCGCGATCTAACACCATGGCAACTCCCTTAATCCCACCCCTCAAGGCCCTTGCAAAAGCGCTATCCATCGGATCGTCGGCCAGTTCGGCTGCGATATTCCACTGGTTATTGGCCTAAGCAGCAGAATGAAAGCAAAAAATAAGGGTAACACAGCCCAACCATAATATCATTTCCCAGTCTGAGTCTGAGCATACACGATTTCCATCAATGCGGGCGTCTCTCTCTCTCTCTCTCTCTCTTCAGATCCTGTACTTTCGTCATACCTATCCTTAGCTTCATTGGGAACTGATCTGAAAAAGCAGGAAAAGCAGGTCCAACGAAACACAAAATCCACAAAGTTGAGTTCCCAGTGGCAAAGGAGCAAATCCAATAGGCTGCATCGATCCAAGATGTAGGGCCTTCCTTGGACAAGGCATGGCAGCGAATGGAGCGCACAAAGTGAGAGAAGCTCGTGCCCCAGGAATGTGACCTCAGCTGTTCAGGGCGGGGTACTGATAGTACACACACGTTCCGCACGTTCACGGTCCCTGGTGGATGGCATGGCCCATGAAAACTATATTTACCTTACAAATACTGGGTGGAACACACTTGCAGTGAGTCCAAATGTGACCTCCGCCGAGCAGGGCCCCTTCTGGGCAGAGTTTGTAGAATATACATCTCTCTCTCTCTCTGTAGAAAGTAGGAATCTTCCTTTTGTGGCCATACCGTCCACAAAAGCCTCCGGCGAGTCTGAGTTGGAGTGTAAGATGCAACAACATCTGAGCCAACTCCGCTAGTGAAGTAAAGTCATTAGCTTTTTCACCATGCCAGTAGGATCTATTTGTTACTCCGAAGATGCTTGGAAACTCTCTTAAAACTAAAGACATTGAACCAGCACCATAGCGATCACAGTCATTGCTTTCGCATGAAGCTTTCGCTCAAACGTCTGCAAGCCACATTCCCCCCATTCCCCTTTGACGCCTACGCAAGCAAAGCAGGCCGTTACAGTCTTGCACAAGCAGCATCACCCATCAGCTTTACATCAGCCGAGGGACACAAAGTAGTCCACCTGCATGCCACCCCAAAGAGTCACGAAGGACACGCCTTTGCTCTGCGTCAGGGGCCTTGCAGGGATGTTCCTCCCTGGCACACAAATGTCGAGTTGCTATGTTTTTGGTAAACATTGCCTTTTTGAGGATTATCTGTTTCGGACCGTGGTATATGCAAACATCTTTTTCAAGTGCCTTTTGGAGAAGCCCGGAGACCACTTTTGGCTGCAGAATCGGGTTTTCTCCGTAGAATCCAGAGCGGTTCCGCTACCCGGCCTTACAAGATTGGCCACCACGAAATGCATATTCCGCTCCAAAATGAAGCCTCAAGAGACGGCTCCGAGACGGCTCTGAGGGCTGAAGAAGATCTTCTTTCGGTCTGAGGGCGATTCATGTTCGGACAACGAAGCAACACATCAAAGGCATTTGGACAAAAAACAGAGGTCCAAATTCCAATGTTTTAGGCTTCAAATCATTTAAGATGGTTTTCGGTTTGGATGCATTCTTTCAAGCGTCGTAAGTTAAGCGCGGTATATAGATAATACGTAACATAACTGCATGGTAGCTAGCACGATGATAAAACTAAGGCGGAGAGTAACGCGCCTAATGTACATTTCCTTTTATTGTTCAGTACGCGGAGATGGAATTATATAGAAAGCGGTTGAAATAAACTTGCGACATATTAACAACTTTGAGCGTATACAAAGAAACTTCCCAACAAGAGCTTACCTGATGAGAAGGTTCAGAAACTCTCAAAGTGCTTCCATAATCCACGTAGTGTGAGGACCAACAGGCCCTGGTTGTGAGGATGCGTTGCATCTGGGCCTGGATGTGGCTTGCAGTGGATTTGTTTCTGGTAGTCATCCAAAGCTTCCGAGAAGGGCGTTCTACGGTACAGGCGTTGAATGAGCCATGCCACCGGCCAGTGCAGCACCGCAGCCACAACCGCCATTGGAAGAGCAATGTAGAACACAGCGGTGACCTTTTGAAGGATGCAAACAAGCAAACTTTTAATCCCAAACAGAGCACAAAGAGAGCAAAATACACACACAAGCAAACAAAACAGTCCACGATACTTTCCAGTGACTTTCCAAGTGGCACTTGTATGTTCCAAGCGATTCCCGGACATGACGGCGACTTTGATAATGGTGGGCAGAATCAGAAGCAAAACTAGCAAGGCAATGAGCAGGGTGAAGAGGAAACAAGTCTCGGTGGCGTGCAGGGACCCTCTGCAGGAAGCGCAATCAAATGGCACGTGTGCATCTTGAAGCAAAAGCTTCCTCTGTGCCACACTGCAAACCTTGACTGCCTTCGGCTTTTGTTGATCAACATCCAGCCACTGCAAACTGGTTCCCCTTGCACGATAATGCACTCTCTGGTGCACCAGCCGTGATATGCTCTCAGGAAGGCTGGTAATAGGCCCCTGCACTGAGATGGTGAAGATCCTTTTGGTTGCCACCTCCGAGGAGTCTTCCAAATCAGACCTTGCGTCAAGAACTACCAAAGGAGCGTGAAGGATCTCGAACACAATGAAGATCAGGATCACCAACACTGCTGCACCTGTAAACAGTATTACGCGCTCTGGCCTTTCCCGTGGCAGCCAATGGCACACGTCACGTTTGCCATCAGACCAAGCTCGGTAGATCTCACAAGGGTGACAAATGCCATCCTGGAAGTATGATTGTCTGTTGCCTCAGGAATGCAGTGAACACCATGAAACACGGTTGTAATTTACATCACTTTTGCTACAACATCAAATTAACCACCTGTGAATGGTCAGGATGATCATGTCAATCTATCAGTTGCAAGTGAGTTGCAAAACCTGCACGTCTGGAAAACGTCTTCGAGAGACACCAGCTCTGTGTTGCGAAAGTGCTCACTTGTGATCCTTGGATGTGTGCCGTAGTTGTAACTGAGCAAGTGTCCCGTCTCCACATCAAAAGAGCAAACATATTTTGTCTGAGTGGTAAAGTGTATTGAGGAGCACGGTTGCCTTTTGATGTCTCTCTGCAACGACAAAGGTCAATAAAGACACAGAAATTACTTCCTTCCACAACAAAACACAGCAACTAGAATCAAACCAAAAAATCCACGATTGAAGGAAGAATAATACTGGCACTGTTGTATTTATTTGCGCAGAGTTTTGCATATCATTGATGCAATTGTGTCTTTCTCGTTCTTCCATCAACAATGCCGAGAATCCGGTAGTCTCCGCAATCGCAACGTAGTGTCAAGCCATTTGACCTCAAAGCCAGCCAGGACTTTTCGGCAATCTGGGTTGAAATGGTAACAGCTTTTGACATTCCAACACATTCTTTTACAGCAAAGTATTCACATATGTTTTATTGTGTTTGTCTTTTTTCTTTTTTTTAAAGGAGCGATTCGAGACTGTGCAAGAAGGAGTAGCAACATTTGGTTCGAGTGACACTGTGGAGGCTTTGGAACATTGGAGATTTTGTGGGCTCAGAGCTTGCAAGGTTTTATCATCTGTTGCATTGAAGGTCACTCCCTGCGGGCAGTCCGGGCATGAAATGGCCAAGGAGTTGATAATGAAGTTCTCCTGCAGGGAAGGCTTTTGAAGAGTCGGTCTGGGCAAAGATCGATGTGAGCAAGTATCATGAATGTTGCTGGCAAAGGATAGCTCACCAATTGATTACAATTTCATGCGCATTAGGGAGGGATGGATAATTATGTATTTCTGAAGCATATGGCACATATGTCTTGCCTGCAGAAGGAAAAACACACATACAAATATTGGTGCAAGAATGGCAGATCCTGAGCAGCTAGGATCTGCAGATTGTCGACCGGTGGCCGGTAGTGGATGTCGACATTGTCGATCACCACATAGCTGGGGCGTGTTGTGAGGAGTGAACTGTTCCACGATCCCAAATGAATGCTTGAGAGGCGCACTTCTTCGGAAGGGCAGGCTTCAACTGACAGAAGGCCTGAGCTCAAGCGACCCATTGCATTCAGAGCTGCGCCATCTGTCACTTGGAACGTGGTGTTTCTGCAGAGAGAGGAGCAGCCGCCATTTTGCAGGTCCAAACCATGCCCACCAATGATGCCCTCAAGGGCCAAGGTTGAGCTAGGATGTAGTTGGAGGCAACTTGCTGCCAGAACGCTGGAGTTTCCATCACCTTCTGCTTGATGAATGTCTAAGCTGGACTGAGACAAAAGAAGCACCAGGCCATCCACACGACCTGCAGTGCCTGTCCGCTCGGCAGAGGAATTGGCCGTCGACATTGAGCCATTGTGCATTGTCAGCGCAGTGCGAACCATGAACCCACCACCATCTACCCCTGCATGCGTGTCGGACATGGCAACTATAGATGCATCGACAAGTGCCATGCCACCATTTGCAAAGAAACCTCCACCAGATTGTCCTGATGTCGCATTTTGAATGCTGACTGTTGAGTTGTTGATAGCAACCTTGCCACCAGCAGAGACTCCTCCGCCGTTAATTCCTGCTGTTACATTCAAAACGATGAGAGTGGAACGATTGGAGAGCTTTAGTTCAGCCCAAACGTCAAAGCCTCCACCATATCCAGAGACTGCATGTCCGTTGGAAATCTTCACTGTCGAGCTTCCACCAATGTCAACCTCCCCAAGGGAATACAACCCTCCTCCACTGTCACCGGCTTCCACATTTTCAAGGTTGAGTGTTGAGTGGCTTCTCATCTGCAAACGCTTCTCCACATGAAAACCACCGCCTTTTTTGGCCACTGCGTCAGAAATGGTCACATTTGACATGTCAGCAATCAGGATCTCATCGGCGACAGTAAAACCTCCACCGAGCTTCCCCGCATTGGTACTCTGAATGCTGACCTTAGATTTGCTTGAAGGAACCGGAAAAAAAACAAGAATATTCACCAGAACGGGCATTCACCCATAGGGAAAATAAGAAATCATCCTAAGCAAAACCAGGTGACTGTAGAGCTGTGCAGGGTAACCCGACGTTGTGCACAAACTCCTCCACCATACGTTCCAGCTGTTGCATTCAGAATGATCAGGGAAGAATTGGAGACCCTTAATTCTTGTGTGTCAAAACCTCCTCCGATTCCCGAAACTGCCCGGCTGTTCCAGATCTTCAGAGTGGAGTTTCCACTGATCTCAACCTCTCGAGAGGCAGACAAGCCTCCTCCGTTTTTGCCAGCTTTCACATCTTGAAGGTTCAGTGTTGACTTGTTTGTCACCTGTAAATGCTTGCGCACTTGGAAACCTCCTCCGGATTCTGCTGCCGCTGCATCCCAAATACTCACCTGTGACCTTCCAGCAATGACCACCTCATCCTTTGCGTCGAAACCTCCAGCGAATCCTGCACTCTTCGCATGCTGAATATTGACTGTTGAGTTGTCTATTGCAACCTTGCCAGTAGCATAGAATCCTGCGCCACCGAGCGCTGTTGCATTCAGAATCATGAGGGTGGAAGCTGTGGAAACGTTCATACTGCCGGACACAGCGAGACCTCCGCCGCCTCCCGAAACTGCCTGGCTGTTGGAAATCTTCACTGTCGAACTCCCAGCTATCTCAACCTCTTTGAAGGCACTGAATCCTCCACCATTTTTGCCAGCTTTCACATTCTGAATATTGAGTATTGATTGGCTTATCACCTGTAAACGCCTCTGTGCATGGAAACCTCCGCCTTGTGATGCTGTTACTGCGTCCGAAATGCTCACATTCGACCTTTGAGCAATCACCACCTCGTGTGCTGCAAGGAAGCCTCCACCAATCCCTACGGCTCTAGCATGCTGAATGCTGACCGTTGATGTGCTGATAGCCACCCTGCCAGGTGCATAGAAACCTCCTCCACCAAGTCGTCCCCCAGCTGTTGCATTCAGAATGATCATGGTAGAACCATTGAACATGTTTAGTGCGCCTCCTGCAGCAAAACCTCCCCCCGTATCCAGAGACTGCTTGGCTGTTGGAGACGTTGACAATTGAACTTCCAGCAATCTCAACCTCTCCATCAGCATTGAACCCTCCTCCGTTGTTGCCAGCTTTGGCATTTTGAAGGGAGATCGTTGAGCTGTTTGTGACCCGAACATGTTTCTCTGCTTGGAAACCTCCACCAGAGTCTCCTGCTGTAGCATGCTGAATGCCGACTGTTGAATGGTCCGCCAACTGGAGACCTAGCCCGGCCAAGAAACCACCGCCGCTTTTGGCAGATCTGGCATTCTGTACACGAATCTGCCCACCATCCTGGCATTTTCTGCAGGCTGCAGTAGCTTTCCAACACTTCCCAATATCAATGCAGGACATCAAAGGCTATTGAATTGAAATCAAACATACAGTAATTTTCAGCTTTAAAGCAACACGTTTCTCGTCGTTCCACATGAAGGGACTTGGGACCGTATTGAATTGCAGAATGCTTTCTGAAGAGAACCAATGAACAAAACACAGATTTCGAGGCGGATCGAACCGTTTTGGTTTCATCACATGTTCATCACTTTATCACCACGCACAAATCCACTACACTTTTTGCTACACCACGTCACAAAGTAACTAGCCCAACACGCGACACTTGACCACATCATAGACCATCACAGTAGACTGTATCACGTCACACACCGCCAGGCTGAACGTTATACCGGATATGTCAGCACATCAAAAACACATCCTGCATCGACGCATCACATCATGCACGTCTCAAATGACCACTAGCGTTTCTTCACAACAAACGGGAACCAGTGTTGTTAGCAACGTAACGTGGTAGCTCTTGTCATCAAAGAAAAGCAGTTTCTAGGGTGTGCTCTGAAAGTAAGTAAATAGAACCGATAATTACAGTGCTGTGCCACTGGCTGCTGTGTTGCAAAGTCTGGTTGGACGACACCTAGTGTCATTGATTTCATAGTGTTTGGTTGGAGTTCCCATGTTCAGAGAGGCTAACAAGATGGAGGCCCCACGAGCCTGTCAAGTGAAATGATTGCCATCCGGTACTCTCCACCGCAATCCAACCGATGGGTGTCCATCCACTTTGATGGACGGGTTGTTATGGATGATGCGACAAAGGATGAGAACATGTTCAAGGGGTACCAGCTTTTGCAAGACAGGCATGACTCTTAAAACATAGTTGTTGATCAAAAAACATAAAATCCAACCTTTAGGTAGTTAAATACTCATTGAAAGGTCCACGTATGGCACGGCATTGAATACTCGCCGAAAGGATCCTCTGTGCTCTGGACTGCCGGATATGGATGAGGATGCGGCATGAGGGCAGCTTGTTTGGAATGTCATCTCAGCCAGGAAAAATCTAAAAGTTCAGAACATGGTTGGCCCCACAATTTGGTTGAAATTGAATAGAATGCCTAATAATCCTATGCCCCTGGCCTGGCAATTTCCATTCTTTTGAAGGTCAACAAGTGATCTGGGTTCTTCGAGAACCCATTGTGAAAAGACAGTAAATGTGCTCCGTGGAGTAGTGAGAATGTACGGAAGTGCAGAGAAAGTTGACCGACAAAGAGAACGGCAACGGCAAGTGAACCATGCGACCGTCGAGAGTAGAACCCCGTCGGAAAAAGTGGATCAATTGACAGAAGTAAAACGAGGGCAAAGAAAACAACCGGCGTTCCGGTGGAGCTTCTTCTTGGAGCCAGTGTGCCAGTGTTTCTGAGTCCCGCACGGAAATGTCCGCGTCACCCATCACATAGAAGCCACCACCATGACCTTTCTGTGCGGAAGCGTTCTCAATGAGGACTTTGGAGAATTCACGTAGTCTCCTTGGACACAGCGTGTGTCAGCAGTTAGCAGGGTCGGCGAAAAGAGTGCATATCGAGAGAGTTGACATTTCCATTGAGTCGTACTATGTACATAGCTGTCCCTTGTCCAGCCAAGACTTTCTTGTCTTGCTTCGAGCATCGATTTCTTCATCCTTCATCTTTTCTCAAAGCTAGCAGCAAAAGCGACAACAGCATCACAACCTTCGGCTGTCCATTTCTGACCCGATCTGTATATGTCACTCCCAAACAATGCGCATTTTGCTTGGCATGTCTCAATGCGCCCTCACCGTAGAAGCCTCCGCCACTATCTAACGCTGCAGCATTCAGCACGCGAAGGCTTGATGAAACCAAAGTCCTCAGCGCTGAGAAGAGCAAGAAAAGAAGTCGCCGCAAAGGTACACAAATTATTCCGTCCGTGATTGAAAGGGAGTCACTGTTCAATCTGGTTGAACCAACTTCTTATTTGCGACTTGTGGGGCGTGTGTTTTACTTCTCAGAGTGTTATATTGACATAGAAAAGAATCGGGAGACACCACCCCAACCACTCAGTTTTGGTCTAAGTGTTGTTGGATTCTTTATTGGTGAGAAGGCGGTCCCTCCATACACATGTCCCACATCACAGCTGGTTGGTGATCTAAACCATTCCAACGATCCCAAAGCACATTGAATGTATTTTGATGATCATTCTCCAGTATGCAAAAGTCCAACGATTCTTCCAACTCACCGTGCAGTCAACTTTTGCTGCCCAGAATCAGATCTCCAGCTGCAAGGCCACCCCCCCGCACAGCTCCAGTGCCTCTGACCTCGCCCAAAACGCACTGGTCACGAGGCGGGGTACGAGGCGCTCACAGGCGACGGGGCACGGTGCCGGTGGCAGTTCAAACCGTCCGGAGACCGGGAGATCGACCAGGAATCTCTACTAGTCAGAGTTTTTCTCCACAGACCAAGTCTACGTAGTGCCAGGTGTGGTGTCAAGCAGCAGGTGTGGACTCCAGTCGATGGTTTCAGCCCACCTGATTAATCATTGAAGGCAAAGGGTGGAGAAAAACAACGCACATACAGCTAGTGGTGGTGTCAGGGAGGGGTGTCAAAGGGGGTCAGGGAGTCCCTCAATGCTAGTCCCTTCCGGTTGTCCAAGGAGCTGTGAGATTCGATCTGGTCAAATTCAATGGCCCTTCGCTGTGAAATGCGCCGCCCGTTTCGATGGAGAGATCTGGAGTGTCATGCCACGCTTCCACTTGAGCATCTTCAAAGATCATGGTCCTAAACTCAACTGAGATCAGGTGGTCTATGGCCACTCCAAAATGGCACATGAATTTGATTCTAGCCAAACAATAATCGAACATAGCGTTGCCCACATGCAGACAAAACTTTTACTACCCCGACTTGTGCATGTTCCAAGCTCAGAGTGAGATTGAGATGATCTTTTGAATTCCACCGCAGTCAAGGATCTCAGCTTCAAGGCGGAGTGAAATTATCTGGATCTGCCTTGGTCACAGTGACACGTTTCTCATGCCCCTGTGGCGTTTTGCAATGTGAGTGAGCATGCCCCAAAGTAAAAACACGTCACAATGAGGCGTATTGTAGACCGTTTTGAACTGGTTCCCCTAGTATGCCCCAATGTAAGAGGTATCCGGAAACCAGTCTATCAACATGAAGCCCGTCGGCCTATCGGATGGACTTGGTTCGATTCAAGTTGGGTCTTTTTTGTGCAACGCAAAGGACAGGTGTTATCATTGTGCTTTGGCTTTGGCGATACTGTCTCATCGTACAGCCATCAAATCCAGTGATGAGTGTCAGTTGTACGGCCTATCAGATGGACAGTACAGCCTATCAAATTCTGTTGTGGACGAGTGTCAGTACCCCACCATAGCTGTAGGGCCTCTCAAATTCACTTCTGTTACTGACGTCTGTCTCTCTCACCACTGGGGACAGCGGAACGTCTCACAATCGCAGAACCCGCCGAGACTCCCATCGTCTTCTGGTCGTGAACCACCCCCGAGAGAGTTCAAGGGAATGGAAGAATAACCTGCCCCAAACAAAACAACTCAACCAGCCCCAAAACAAACTCCAACTCCCAAAATGGAAGCCTGCACCAATGTTTTGGGGTTGGTAGGTGTTGATTCACGGCAAAGTGCAAACCTCTGAGGCATTGGCAACAACCTCTCAACGATGCAGCCATAGCACCCACTGATGCGTAGCTCCCCCCAACTCCCGCACGTTGTCACTACGCCCGAAGGAGCTGCTCCCTGCAGCTGTGCTGGTGCCGGAAAAGCAGGGCCACGCAGCTGGCAGTTCGCAGGCGAAGTGCTTGGCCTCAAAAGCGAGAACTGGACCTGGATGACTTTCTTCGCGAGTTGACAATAGTGGTGACATGGCATGACATGACCAACAAGACCTGTAAGTGACCCTGCTGCTCAAGGAATAATTATACAGAAAAGATTCCCTGAAAACATGGACAAACCATTCAAACATGACGATGTTCAAACGAGGCAAACTGCAAGAATCAGTTCTCGTTCTACACATGACACAACTGATGATGTTGACATCCTGTCTGAAGCAACCTGCAAATATCTGCAAAAGCTGCAACCACCCATTCAACACATTCCCTGCGATAGCTGCAACCAAGTCACTGGAGCTGAAAGCACTCACCAGAACTCAGCTGACGGTCACAAAGATCTGCCCAGCTGATCGCTTCACAGTCCTTCCAAACAGACGAAAACATGCAACACCCACTGAGTGCTGGCTGAGTGTGGCTCTTCTAATTGATGGCTAGCTTCATCTGAGGCATGAAGTGTTATGAAGGTGTCCGGTGTAGACAGCTTCCTAACCAACATATTGCGGCAATAATTTGATACAGGCCAGCATGAACGTCACTCCATTAAACTAAACATATTATATAGATAGAGTCAATCTCTCTTTCTTTCCGTTTTGGCACCTCGTGCACTTGTCGGGCATCTGATAAATTGCTCAGTCTGGGCGCGCGGCCTCAAAAAGGCAGGCAATGCCAGAAATCCTGGGGGATGCTGTATCTAAGAGTGAGGTCTTGTGGCAGTCCTTGAGATAGAGGATATTTTTGTCCAATGGGGTGGGGGATGCCCTGAACATGTAATTAATTCTACAGAATGTATCGATTCCATGGAAGTTGATGTATTTTCACACGGCGATTCCCACCAACGCGCAGCTCCGCCGAGACTCGACGCGCCGAGCCGGCCTCGCGGAGGCTGTGAGGCTCGCGAGAGGACGCGCAGCTCCGAGGCGACGCCGAGAAGAGTCGCAGCACATGTCAAGACGCAGAGTCGCGGCATAGCACGGACTGTGACTGGATGTGGGCAGTCAGAAGGATTCCTGCAAGGTGTAGATGTTGAAGATCCTCCTGTGTCTAGGTGCTGCAAGTGAAGATAGGGCTTTGGACTTGATGTTTTCAACATGTGTTGCGTGGATCTTGGAACGTTTTTGGATTCAAATAAGTGTTTGGCTCGTATGTTTGTGCGTCAGAGATACAGCTTAAGCACCCATTCGTGCAAGAAGTCTGCCTGGGCACTCAACGGCGATAGGCAGCAACACTATTCAATCACATATATGCTGTCATCTCACCGGATCCAAACCACCCCTCAGCAGCAACTCACGAAAAGTTGAGAGAGTGATCCTAGAAAAAGAGCTTTCTGTTCACCCTAGAAGTCCAAAGACTATATTTTGACTGACTGAAGTAAAGGACATTCCTTTTCGTGTCACCTAGTCAGACCATTCATTTTTATAGTCTTTGAATTTCAGGGTTCAGTGAACCGTTCTTCCCATCCTGCACCGGCACCTGATCACGCGTTCCTCCGGAGGCGGTCTTCCGCCGGCCCCGCCTCGGCCGGCAGCCGAACGGCCGAAGGGACGACGGAGTCCCGCTGATAATATACGACCATTTATGGAACTGGACTAGTTTAATATATGGAGGGTCATCAATGGTGTACATGGATGGTCTGGATATGAATTCGTCCTACCAGGTCCTTCAAGAAGGCACCGTTCAGCTCCAAATCTTGTAGCGATGTTTCGTCACCGTTGGGGTCCATTTGATCCAGAAAAAGGGAGAAGACTAGAGGTGAGCTTTTATATTTTGGATTTTTTCACTGGCTAGGCCAGGCTTGTTGCATTTGGCTTCAAACATCTTTGTTTCAATGGTGTTGGGGGAGGGCAAAGCACCTCCCCAAGAGCAGGGCAAGCAAGAACTTGCCAAATACATAACTACGCTGATTTTGCTCTCAAGCACCGGTGCGCAGGATCGCATCAGGATCCTGATATGGAGAGACTACCAAGCGAAGCGGGACTTTACCTGGCAAGTCCGTTGATTCGTGCTTATTGCCTTGACTGCAAGCCAAGCGTTCGCTTTCCTCTGTCTGTCTTTGTGTACCCTATCAACTAACTCGTTAACTGATCCAAAATCCAAGGAGGAAAAGGTACCAGCAGCACGCTCTCAACAACTGCATCTGAAATGCAACGTTGCCCTCCTTAAATGAAACTTCTCTTCAACCGACGCCCTCTTCACTGACCGGCACACCGAGGCCTGGGCCGTTTTCTCCGCAAAAACATCGGCAGCTTTGCGATGATCCAGCAGCCCTGGCTGGTGAGAAAAGCAAAAGCAAACATGTTCTATCGCAAAAAGCATTGGAGCATCTCAGAAATCAGCAAACGGAGTAGAACGGAGAGTGAGGTTTTGGTTGGCTGGCGGATCTGGTGTCTCATCGAAAATCATCGGTCAAAATTTGGGATGGCAGGCCCGTCGAGCAATTGCACCACCAACACCCAAATCACGAGATGTCAAGCAAATGAGGAAACACGATCTTGAAGCTGCCAGTGGTTGGTTGCTCATGTAGGGTTAAACAATTTAGAAGACGAGTGACGACCTTGTGCGTACTCCGACAAAAATGGATTTGAAAGCTCTTAAGAAGGCTTCCCATGGGGTCACGACTCTTGCGTCTTCCCGAAAAATACCATCCACCCAAGCAGAAACAAATTAAGTAGACATTCACTACTTTCGACCTAGCCTATGCAGCAGGCTATCAGTCGCGCTTCCCACATTTGCCAAGCTCTTCTCCAGCATTTCTCCCATCAAATGTCTGATCTGGCCATCCATGCTCTCCAAACTGCCCAAGGTGTTGATGATGTATTCAAAGATCTTTCTCCTCGTCGTGGTGCTCCAAAACATACAGTATCAAACTGCATGCCTTTCAGTCCCAAGCTTTCCTATCTAACATGATCTAACAACGTGCTATCCAGCAAATCACCAGAAGCGTTACAATAAACCGCCACTTGGGAAAACTAGCGTTCTTAGGCCAACTAGCTATAGGCATCCTGAGAACGACACTGGCAAACTGGGTCATGGCACCGGACGAGAACGACGCCGATCTCACACCCAGATATCGCACAGGGCACTGATACCATGCGCAACCGATAGCATGGGCTCTTTTGGCGACCAATCCCCATGAAGAGACCAATTCACCTATTTGAGTCGGCCGTTTTTTATTGCCAATGGGTTCCTATAACCATGGACCATGGATGCTGCGTGTCCATTTCTGAATTTCTGGTGTGAGGCAAGCTTCTTGTCTTCTTCACTGGATGCTTGGCACTGTGTTACCTGTAGGCACTCGATCTTCTTGCCCACTTCTAAGGCGATGTCAATGGAAGTGCATCCGTCCTCAAGAATGAAACACTTCACAGATGTCATGCAGCAGGTGACAAATGTGGGTCACAACCCCTACGAGTACCAAACATCGGGGTCGTTGGTACGGGTACCATTTTAGTTCCATTCCCTCCAACCAACGTTGTGCGCTGATATTGAATGAGGCGTCATCGCCCACCACTCCCACATCAGTCGTGAAGACCAGCTCCAGTTGCTCTCGACTGGACAAGAGGAACTCGAACAAGCACCAAACTCCTTGAGAGTTCGGAGACAAAAACGGCACGGCACGTTTTGATGGCTCTACGAAACAAAGTTCCGGTTTATAGTATTTGGGGGGGGTGGTATTTCGTTTCGAAGGTGTGTCTCATGGTTTTAGGATGTTTTACGTTACTTCAACTTAACATATGTTTCATTTACCTGCTTAGGTCATCTTAGGTGTCTTGCCTCACAGTCTCGTGATTGCTCGATACTTGCTTTTGTTATGGACATTTGCAGTAGATTCAGATGTGGTTTTCACATTGGTCTGAAACCAAGGACAAACGAACCACCGAGGAGGAAAAACAGAGAAAACCTGAACACGTAAATCATATTCAAGGCATAAGTATGCATAAGTATGCTTCAGCTATATTCGGCATTTGATGAGGTACGAACATGTCAATGTCATTTGTAGGGTTCCAAGTACTTCCTCAGAAGGTAGTTGGAGGCCTAGGGTACACTATGTCCACTTGTTTCTGTGTGCTTTTGCCGTGCTGTCAAGGCTCGTGTAAGCGGTTGCACCTCGTGATCTAAAACCATGGCAACTCCCTTAATTCCACCCCTCAATGCCCTTGCAAAAGCACTATCCATTGGATCATCCGCCAATTCGGCTGCAATATTCCACTGGTTGTTGGCCTCAACTAGTCAACAAATGCCCGAGCTTGGTGTAAGATTCACTTCCCTGTCTGAGCAAACAAGAGACTATAAAGTCTGAAACTTGTGTTCTTTCTCTCTCTCTAGATCCCACACTTTAAACCAATTTACCTAGCTCGGAACTGATCTGAAAAGCACATCTGAAGTTCAGTTCCTAGTGGCAAAGGAACAAATCCAATAGGCTGCATCCATCCAAAATGTAGGGCCTTCCTTGGACAGGGCATGGCAGTGGATGGAGTGCACAAAGTGATCGAAGCTCGTGCCCCAGGAATGTGACCTCAGCTGTGCAGGGTGGGCTACTGATAGCTCTGACTGCCTAGGGTGGATATATAAATAGCATGGCTCGGAAATGACAACTATGGCCTTCACATGGATGAGGCAAAGGCCGCACTCTGACGCACGGCGCCCTCATGCGGCCCAAGAAGGGCCAAGGGGGTGGAACCCGCCAGTAAGTCCGAGCGTAAGATTCAGCACGTGGTCAAAGACTGAACGCTTTCATCAGCGAGGTACTGATAGTCTACACTCGGACACACGTTGCTACGTCCTACAAATACATCCTTGGAGTGTGAGTGTAGAATGTCTAGGCTAGCTGATCAAGGATTCAGTCGGTAGCCCTGGCCATGGCCAAATGTATCACCGAGTGAGCTTGGAAGGCACATATGACTCAAGTACACTCACCAACTTTCTCCTAAACTCCTAGGTGCTTCAATGAAGCAATGAAGCGTACACTCAACTAGACGACGGTTGGCCCGAGAGCGAGACATGTAATTGTCCAGCACTGTCGAAAAGATGTATAGAAAGAGAGAAAGAGAGGGTGGATGTGAAGGAGTGACAGTGTGATGTGCAGGTGCGATATAGATCTGTAGATGTATGGAGGTGGAGAGGTAGATCTGTGGATGTGAGTGTGCGAAGATGTAAATGCACAGAGACGAGAGAAAAAATATGTAGAAAGAAAGACAGGACAGATGTGAAGGAGCGACAGTGTGGATGTACAGATGTGATATAGATTATAGATGTGCAGATGTGTGGGTGTGGTGAGGTGGAGAGGTAGATCTGCGGATGTGAGCGTGTGAAGATGTAAATGTAGAGAGGTGAGGGGGGGTGTAGACGTAGATGCGTCGATGCAACGGCAATGCAACGTCAACCTTAGTTGTGCAAGTACAACGCTGAAGAGGTTCAACTAGAACTGAAGAACGTACATTTCACACTGAAG